CATACCATTGTATTACAATTCTAGCAGTACAAAACAAACACACAGATTAAAAAGAAAAAAAAAAGAAAAAAACACACAGATTTTGCAAACTTGGTAGTTGGTTAAATGTCCTTTGACCAGTATCTGGCCACTTGGAGTGCCTCTGGTGTTGCTGCAAGAAGGTCCTCCATTGTGCATGTGGCAGGGCTCAGGGTGCATTGCAGCAGGTGGTCAGTGGTTTGTTCTTCTCCGCACTCGCATGCTGAGGATTCCACCCTGTAGCCCCATTTCTTAAGATTGGCTCTGCATCTCGTGGTGCCAGAGCGCAGTCTGTTCAGCGCCTTCCAAGTCGCCCAGTCTTTTGTGTGCCCAGGGGGGAGTCTCTCATCTGGTATCACCCATGAATTGAGGTGCTGGGTTTGGGCCTGCCACTTTTGGACTCTCGCTTGCTGGGGTGTTCCAGCGAGTGTCTCTGTAGATCTAAGAAAACTATGTCTTGATTTAAGTCGTTGACGTGCTGGCTGATACCTAAACAGGGGATGAGCTGGAGATGTCTCTGCCTTGGTCCTTTCACTATTGGCTGCTACTTCCCAGCGGATGTCAGGTGGTGCAATACCGGCTAAGCAGTGTAATTTCTCCAGTGGTGTAGGGCGCAGACACCCAGTGATAATGCGGCATGTCTCATTAAGAGCCACATCTACTGTTTTAGTGTGGTGAGATGTGTTCCACACTGGGCATGCATACTCAGCAGCAGAGTAGCATAGCGCAAGGACAGATGTCTTCACTGTGTCTGGTTGTGATCCCCAGGTTGTGCCAGTCAGCTTTCGTATGATGTTGTTTCTAGCGCCCACTTTTTGCTTGATGTTCAGGCAGTGCTTCTTGTAGGTCAGAGCACGGTCCAAAGTGACTCCCAAGTATTTGGGTGCGTTGCAATGCTCCAGTGGGATTCCTTCCCAGGTAATCCTCAGAGCTCGGGATGCTTGTCTGTTCTTAAGGTGAAAGGCACATGTCTGTGTTTTAGATGGATTAGGGATCAGTTGGTTTTCCCTGTAATAGGCAGTTAGAGAACCTAGAGCTTCGGAGAGCTTCTGTTCAACCATCTCAAAGCTCCCTGCTTGAGCGGTTTTTGAATTAAGCTACTATCTTACTAGTTTCTTGGCTCTAAAATTTGGGCTGTTACTTTTTGAAATATTCATTATTTTTCAGTAGGAAGGAACGAAGTAGATTATACTCACAGAGAATAAATAGCTGGCATAGGAAATCTGTGCCATTGTTAAGGAGCCATTTCACTCATACAAATGTTCTTTTTGAAAACATACTCCCACCTGAGTCTTATACAATAAAAATGAAAAGTCAAAGGAAAACTCTGTACTTTAGAATGCATAACAGAGATGAAGAAGCTAAAAGGCAGCCATTGACAGAGCATACATCAGGAAAGACAAGTTTCAGATGGATTAGTATGCTTAGGTCTCAATCTTTTGGGAAGAGCAGCTGAATGTTCTATTTTTAACAGCCATTGAAGGCTAGAATGATGTGAAATTTTAACATACAAACTAGGAAGCTGCATGAAATGTGATTGCAAATACCCATTTGGGGTTTTTTTCTAAGCTTTTTGCAACATTAGTTTGCACTGATATATTCCCAGTTTTAACTTCTTCAGAAAAATAAATGTTGGCTCGTCTTTGTATATAGTTTCTAGCACAGGAGAGCTATTTTTTCTTTCACAAGCTATGGCCATGGCTGGACAGGTCTTAGCTAGAGGTTGTGTTGTGCTAAAAAATACAGTAAGGATAGAAATTTCAGTCAAAAAATTGTCCTCAAAACCTGGGTCAGCTTATCCATGGCTTAATGTAAGTACTGTACCTTAAGTCTCATTAGAAAAAAAACCCCATCCCCTTCTCTGGTAGAGTGGCAAAAGAGAGCTTAGTCTATCCTGGGAAAACCTAAAATAACCATCAACTCCCTCTGCTTTTGACCTTTTTTAATGTTTGGGGAGAAAATGGTAGTAGTCAAGGCAATTTGCCCCTTGAATACATGCTGGACCTTTCCCCTCTGTGTAGAATCCTTGACTTATCCACATACCAAAACCCATAATCCTCAACCCTGCCCTTGACTTATAAATGAGGGAAACCTATACATGAGTTTTTATTGTAGGTTCCATGAAGCAAGACCAAGCTCAGGATTTGATCAGCAAAGTTAAGTCAGGCTAAGTAGGTGTGAGGTTTTGCTGGAAAAGGGAAGCAAGCAAGAAAATTTGACAAACAAACTCAGAGGAAATACAAATGAAGTGAATAGCATCCTTGATAGCTTCAAATGGGATCTGAGCACAAGCCTGACAAGACAGTTTGAATTCATTAACTTGAACAATTGCCAAACAGACCTCCTTTGGGTAGGAGCCATTAATTTCAGTGGCATGCAGGACACTGTATCTTTGCTGTGACATTTGAGCCAGAATGGGAGGGGATACAAAGTGGCCATTTTGGTCAAAAATACATTACCACTATAGCCTGTTCCTGAGCTGGAACTCCTAAGAAGGTAGAGACACTTAAGGCAACATTTCTCATGACAGATCCCACCCTCCACTGCTTCACCTGTAATTAAACACGAACATCGCTTGTTTTCAGGTTGGTGAAATGTGTGGTTTCACTCTCAAAAGGACTAGTTTCCTGTTTCCAGGGTTGAACATGCTCAGGAGCCATGACAAATGTATCACCATTATTTAGCTGCTCCAGGGTGGCAGAGCCACGCTGTCATGGACTGACGTAATGGCAACCAGGAGAGAAAACATCCAGTTGTTTTTCAAACTGTTGGTGGGGCCATTTGGCTGGGGAAAGTAAGGGTGTACTTATTTTAATTACTCATATCTTCAGTGGAGTATGAATGATTTAATCATTTTCTCCCTACTGGGATTTTTAAAAAACCTACGCTGTTTGCAAAGGTCTTCTCATATTTGTCACCTTTTTCTTGCCCTGCTAAAAAAGCTATGTGTTGGCCAAACCTTGGGCAGACAAGCTAGATTCTGATAGTTGGATGCATAGCAACGGTGTCATCCTAAAGGACCTCTTGAGAATCTACAGAGATCCCAGAGGATAACATTATTGTAATGTATTAGCCCTTGGAACATCCTTGATTTTCCCATACTCTTCAGGTCTGTAATGAAGGTTGGGGCAGAAGAATGACGGGAGTAGTCCTACAGCCTATTGGAATGTTTGAGATGATGAAAAAAAGACCTCAGGAAGGTTTTCCTTGTTAGCATTCATTGATTCGCAAGATGACTCTTTTCCAAATTATTTCAACCTGGCCCTGGCCTTTGACCTGTGAAGTCCTGCAAGGTTCCATTCTATCCCCCATGCTTTTTAATATCTAAGTGAAACCCCTGGGTGAGGTCATCTGGAGTTTTGGAGTTCAGTGCCATCTGTACATCGGTATTACTCCTTTCCACCAAAATTCAAGGATGCCCCCCGAATCTTGGACCAGTGCCTGGCACCTGTAATGGACTGGATGAGGGCAAACAAGCTCAAGCTTAATCCAGACAAGACAGAGGTCCTCCTGGTCAACCACGAAGCTGATCAGGGTCTAGGGTGGCAACTTGTGCTTGATGGGGTTAATTCTCCCTGAGGACATAGGTCTGCAGTCTGGGGGTCCTCCTGGACTCAGCCTTGATGCTTGAAGCTTAAGTGTTGGTGGTGCCGGGAGAGCCTTTGCACAGTTAAAGCTACCTCAAGAAGCCAGACTTGGCCATGGTGGCCCATGCCTTAGTTACATCAAGATTGGATTATTGCAATGCACTTTATGTGGGACTGCCTTTGAAGACTTCTCAGAAACTGCAATTGGTCCAAAGATCTGCAGCCAGGCTGCTAACCAGAGCCAGCTATAGGAAACACATGATTCCCCTACTAAAGCAGCTCCATTGGCTTCCAATAAGTTTCTGGTCCCAATTCAATGTGCTGGTTGTCACCTATAAAGTCCTAAACAGCTCAGGTCCTGCCTATCTTCATGACTGCCCCCCCCCCCCCCGTGAACCAACACAGACTCTAAGATGTGCCAGGGAGGCCCTCCTCTCATTCTCACCACCGTCACAAGTGCGGTTGGTGGGGACGAGGCAGAGGGCTTTCTCGTTGGTGACCTCACTACTTTGGGACTCCTTCCCCAGGGAGATTAGACAGGCCTCAACACTGTCCTTCTTTCATAGGGACTTGAAGACATAGCTCTTCAATCAAGCCTTTGAGAATATTTAGCCCCTAATTGTCCTGCATAGTAGTTGCACATCCTGCACTTTATTCCTTGCCCTCTCTCCATTACTATGGCTGGCACTTATTTTATTCCTAATGTTTACAGCTTGGCCATGGTTACAGTAATTTACCACCACTGTTAAAGGATCACAGCTTGATTTGAGTCTGAATTAATGTTTTTATATGTGCATGTGTTTTATTTTCTTGTATTTTATATTATGTTCACTTTTAGGTTTGTTTTTAGGCACTTTATGTCATCTGTAAGCCGCCCAAAGTCCCTTCAAGGAGATGGTGGCAGGATATAAGAATAACCTTCTTCTTCTTGTTGTTGTTGTTGTTGTTATTGTTAAGAGGCACCATTTCACATGATGGAATAGAAGTTTTTAGCCTTGAAAAAACATTGGCTGACTGGGTGCCATGATATTTGGGGACTTAGTGAGGGTTTTCTTTAAAACCTCCCAAGAGCCTCACACAGATGATGAGCTGCACATTCTTTCTCTACACATCAACTGTTTCACATTCACATAAGTAAGAAATTTTAATTAAATAATCACACCCAAACAAGTTCAGCAGATAGGGAGCCCAGGGAAGGATCTTAACAGGTAATTTTTAAGCATGGACAGGTCCACGCAGCAGTTGGAATACTTTGGCATAGAAGAAGTTTGTTGGAAGTTAAAGCCCAACAACTTTTGAGGAATTTTGGAATGCTTCTTTTGTTTGCTGTTCTGGGCAGTTAATCACCATATTCACATGGTTACATTTCTAATGCTATCGTTTATCTTTTCACAGAATCATGTGAACCCTGCAATGGATTTTACACAAACTCCTCCAGGAATGCTAGCCCTTGACAACATGTTGTATTTTGCTAAACATCAACAGGATGCTTATATCCGGGTAAGAATTCTTTCTAATTACAATAGGCATGTATGTGGTATCTTTTCCTTTTCTGTTTCATCATTCTAGAGTAAGCAGATGGTCTCATGACATTGAAAACAGCAAATAATTGCTGTAAGGCAATGTTGTGAAGACCCATGATATTTCTGTGTAAGCTTTCACAAATGTTGAGTGGTGCCCCCAAATTCATTTCCAGATTTGTATAAATGCCATGCTAATCGATGATTTGAAGGCCTGAAGACCTCTTCTACATTATTTGACTCCTAAGAAGAAGGAATTGGCTGTGATTGATTTCATGTAGATATGGGGGATAAAGGAAGGCTGATTCATTGTTCTATTTTCCTTTCCTTATTTTCTACCCACTTCTTGCCTACACAGCTTATTTGAAAGGTAGCAGTGAAGTAGACTCTATTTCTTTTGCATATTCTTTCTGACATTTCAGCAGAGTGTGCCTGAGTAAGTTTTGTAAACTTTCCTAGCCAACATATAAGCAAAGAAACAAAGATGATCCTAATGATTCTTAAGTATTCTTAAATCTGGATGGCTTAAGTCCAGAAAAAAACAACTTCACATCCTAGAAGAATTGAAATCTATGTAACTAGATATGGTAAGGAGTCCGGTATTTTAAAAATGCAAGTACAGGCTGCTAGTTTCAATTATCAGGCAGGTTCATTCAGTGTTAGGCAGTGGCCCACGCATCCATGGTTCCAGTAACTCCCCCCACTCGCCCACCCACCACTAACACATAATTCCTAACAGTTCATTGTTTCTTTATTTATGCACATGTTCATTTAAACTATATTAATTAAATAACAAAAATAAAACATACTGAGCTGTCCAAAGGCTGCACTTAAAAATACAGTAGAATTTATATATTTTTCAGAGAAATAGACTGAACAAGGAAGAGTGGGAGCATTATATGTCAAAAATCTGTAAAGAGATCCATGGTTTATTCTTTAAACAAGATTGAGACCATTTGGGTAAAAATTAAGGCGAGAGGAATAGCAGTAATGTTATTATGCAGGTCTACTATAGACTCCTGAAACCGATTGAAAACTTGAATAATGCCTTGCTGAAACAGATGACCAAACATTCAGAAATGAGAAATGTATTAGGGAGATTTCACCTATGCTAATATCTGTTAGAAGTCAAACTCTGCCAAAAATATAGCGTCTAACAAATTCCCAGCTTGCCTTTTAAATAAATCTATTTTCCAAAAGGTAGAAGAGACAACAAGGGAATTGACTGTTTGACCTAATCCTAACCAACAGTGATAGCTTGGTTAACAAGATTGAAATAGCAGAATCCTTAGATGGGAGTGACCATGCTCTCTTGCAGTTTGGTATACAGAGGAAAGTAGACTGATTTCAGCAAACTTAGGGGAATATGTCAGTTAATATACAACTTTATTTAAAAGCAGCATAAACCAAAACCTCTAAGAATTTTGTAAAGAGCACCTTGGCACCTTAAAATGTCAGGGCATTTTGACATCTAACAGATTATACATTTTAAAGGAGCAGAAGATTCTGAATGGAACACATCCAGATTTGGACAGTAATGTTGTAATACTCCCTTTTAAAGATATTTCCTCCCAAATGTACTGTGAGCGTTAAAAGAAACATCAATAATGAATTTTAAATGCAGTAAGAGCTGACTCAGAAATCAGTTCCATGAAGTTCATTGTGTTACTTACTCTTAAGTAAATTTGTAGAAAAGTTATTCTTAAAGAAGTTATCATTTAAAGGAGTTTTGCTCAAAAGAAGTTAATGTTATGTATTTGAAACCTCATATAATCAATGGGAAACTTGGTTTTTGGTGGATTAATAGGTTTTTCTTGGTGCAGTCTTATGAAAAATTCTTGCAAATTCTATTTTTCAAATATTTGAAATGTGAAATGACTAATCGCCCTTTACAGAAGCTTCTTTCATTAGCTTACCAAGAATTGATTGTAAGCTGACTTGAGCTTCATAGTCATTAGTTCATGTGGATCTTTACATTAATATCATCCATATACTGGGGGCTGTTTGGAGACTGTTTTGTTTTTAGATATTTACAATAGAGAGCATAGGGAATGATTGCCATGGCAGCTGAAAGATTAATTGTTGCTATGATTCCTATAGAGGATAAAGTGTTTCACTTTTTTTGTACATCATTTGCCATTTATAGTGTTTTGTTTTGAATATGACATCAAACAGGGAGATGGTATTATGTTTTCTTTTATAATAAAAGTTGCTTTATTTCTGCTAACGTAATGGACATGAATGTCCAGAAAATTGAAACTGAATCTTTATACCCAGCTTTCCAGGACTCTTATGTTGTCTTGTTGCTGTGTGTTTGTTATATGTCCTCATCTGTCCAAATGAATGTGAAGGGAACAGGAATGGATCTCAAGATCAAAGAAATGTGTGTACCTATGTGGAAGCAAGAGAAAGAAAGGAACTCACTTTCTGACTAAGATCCAAAGGTGCACATCTGTATCCAGATCCTCCATATCACAATACCAAACCAAACAACGTATCACAATACCAAACAAAACAACAAGGCTTGATAAGATTTGATTGCACTCTATGTAGTAAGTTGAAATAAGACACATAACAATACAGTAAATAAATATGATAAGATATGATAAAACTGAGGATATGCATCATATTTTCTTATAACCCCTACAATTTACCCCTGCTGTAGTTTGCTGTGGTGCCAAAAACCTCTAGATCAGATGTTTAGGATGTGCGGGGGTGGAGGGTCAGCAGAGAAGGAGTATCATCCTTGTGCTCTTAGAGGTTGTTGAATAGAGGTCAAATGGGCATCTTTTAGGAGTGCTGTAATTTGTACTCCAGCATTGCAGAAGGCCATAGTGGTCCTTACCAACTCACAAGATTCTTCAGGGCTGAAGTATGCTGCGTGACCATGGGCATACCACATTGGATGATAGTTCAGGATCTGAGTCTGTTTCTATTCAAATCTTCTTCTCTTCTCCAAGTGCCCCGTTAGAAGATCCATCACTATTCTCAGTTTTWCAGGATTACAGGATTTACTCCAATATCCTTATTAATATGGCYAAGTACCACCAGATTRCATATWAAAAAGTATCACCACAACCAGATGATCGAATGTTCTCTCTCTGTTGTTCTCAACACGACCAAGTTGTCAATCATTCTGGTRCAGCTTATTCAACTTCCTTTTGAKCCCATGGCATTGGTATCCTTGGCCCAYATCTGTAAAGTAGCCYTCTTARTAGCYMTAATGTCTGCTTGYCAGGCAGCGRTTGTGCASTCTTTGATTTGATCCATCAYGCCTAGTTTGGCAAAGGACAAAGTGGTGTTGAAGTCTGAGATTTCTTTCCTTSCAAARGTGACAACAGACTTWTGGGGTGCCTTGTAAGCYGCCCCAAGTCCCTTTGGGGAGATGGTGGTGGGRTAMAAATAAAGAAGGAGGAGGAGGAGGAGGAGGGGGAGGAGGAGGAGGAGGAGGAGGAGGAGGAGATTATAGCAGAAAATCATTTTCCAACATTCTTTKCTGACCCATCTTGATTGATATCTCACCTTGATTGATATCTCACCCATCTTGATTGATATCTCACCTTGTTGAGTTCCCAAGATTGGGACTCAAGGTGGCTTACACATTAAAAGAGACAACAGTGCCAATTACAATGACAAATTGTGCAATTAACAACTTGCTGTTGTTTTTGAATCAGCTGCATGAAAAGGCTTGCCTTGGTCCACGTTCTAGTATAGCTGGCCCCATTTGACCTATTCTCTTACTGAGTTTCAGATTTTACTTTTCAGCAGCCTTTCTCATCCTGCATCCTTTAGCAGTACTGCATTGGTCTTCCACATCTGTGGAGAAGTAGATCAAACACTAATCTTTTCATGTCACTTTCTTCCCCTGACATTCCTGCAGTGTTTGTTCCAATAGCAAAAGCTATTTCTGACTCAGGGATGGCTACCCCAAGGTGCATTTCTGACTCAGGGATGGTAACCCCAGGGGGAAATGATTTGAATAGGTGTCCTTATAAAAGCAGTGTGTTTATTTCCATTATTTAAAAGATAAAATTGAATGACCCATGTGGAATTTGTTATTGGAAAGCCAGCTGAAGAAACCTGTTGCGCAGCATACGGATCTTAGCCATATCCCATGCACAATACACACAGACAAGAGTAGAAATGAACAGAAAAATCTTTACTCTTAATAGCAGAGATAAAACACAAACTTGCAATGTTGCATACAAAAAACAAACAGTGCAAGAAACTTATATAGTCTTTGTAAGTAACACAAAAGAAGGCATCTTCATCTTAAGTCAAATGAGAAATCAAAACACAAATATTGAGCAAACAGCTATTCCACCATAGCCTCTTTTAAAGCAACACAACGGTTTCTCTCCTACCTGCTCCGCAGAGCAGAACCTTTGAGCATAGATCTCCTCAGAGAAAAAGCTCTCCAGGACTGTATTCTAAAAACCCATACAGTTATACCCTATCGGGTGTGGTCCAAGATTGCTGGTTGACCTACATGACCAGCTGCACATAATAATTACCTTCATATAGTTTTTCTTCAATACACACACACACACATGGTCCTGCTACAACTTACTGTAACAAAACCTACATATTAGCCTAGTTCACCAAAAGTACTTTCTGCTCTCAAAAATAGCAGATAGTGACTTTCTGAAAGATGCAGGATGTGTTATGCAAATGTTTAAGGCCTTGGGGAAGTCTGCCATACACTGGTATTTCTTACCATTTGGGTATGAAAAAGTCAACTTTGGTCAGTTTCAGGCAGCATCTCCAAATGCATTTTGCCTCTGGTAACTATCCGTTTTAGACAACTTTACTAGGCCTGGGTAACAACGGAAAAATTTGTTTCTAAAATCGATTTGTATTTGGGGGGTTTTTTTGTTTCGATATTTAAAATAATTACAAAATTTTCCTTTTAAAAAGTTCGATATTTACGAAATTTTGTAAATGGTAAAAAATTAACGAATCTATTTCCGAAACAATAAC